TTTCGTTTATGTCCACTATCAACATAGAGAAAAACACCATTGTCTATCTTCTTTTACCATAAGAGAGAGAGGCAAAATTATATTTTTATGTTGGGGTTGTGGTATTGAGGAAAATGATTTTGTAATTGTGGTAGATTTGGAAAGAAAATTTTAAAAAAGTGGTATTGAAGATAATTTTCTCTAAACCTTTTTAGTCAAACTTTTAGATATAATATATGTACTCTGTATGTAGTTGAAGGAAAAAAACCTTTTTAAATATGAAAAGTTTGTTGACCACACATCATCTTAGAAATTTAGTCAAACAAATTGATTGTTTGAAAAGTATTATATCATCTGTCAAACATACAAATTAAATGACTGAAAAATCGGATACTTTAGCATGATCAATGATTATGAGAAATTGAAAAAATCGAATTCAAAAGCGTGATCAATGATTTGCCAGAGAAGGTTCGGTTTTGGGAATCTAATGTATGTGGTTTTCTAAGAAATAAAGAGTTAAAGTATCTCCAATCGCATTCAAATTTCTACTCCAAATTCTATTTTGAAATAACATCTTCTCTAACCCTATTTATCTTTTCTTAAACAAAACCCTTGTCTATTTTTAACTTCAAAATAGAGTAGAAAATATGATTGCTTCATTCGACCAGCACTGTTTATCAAATACCATCGCGTATTTTGCACTAAACTTATACTTGTTTTGCTTGTTACGTAGTATAACATGTTTTATGCCGTTTTTTCTCGTCGTTCAAACGCTAAACCTTTTTTCTTTTGTGGAAAGCACAAATTTCTCAACCTTCCACTTGTAATTTGTTACTTTCTTTTTTGGATTCTAATATTCCATTTTTATGCTTTATTCCAAAAGCAAACACGTAATTGCGGATGGATTCCTATCCACTAGGATATTAAGAATGTTGACGATAGACCACTGCATGTGACGTTTGAGAGTTGTGATTGTAATGTCAATGGAAAAGAACGGAGTAGAAAGAACGATTAATTTGGCTAACGTTTATAGACCTAACTACATAATATCTTACAACCTTTTAAAGTTTGGCAGTGGGATCTCGATCTTGAGCTATACGTCTTGACACCAAACATGGATTTGAATATAACTTTATCACTGTATGGACCAGGGGAGGCACATTTGTA